GTGAAATTGAAAAATTAACTAGAAAAACAGGAGAATACTTACACAAAGCAGAGAGAACGTGGTGAAATTGAATTGATGACTTACATGCATCTCGCATTTGATAGAGCACCTTAAAATGAGTAAGAGAAATAGGGTTAGGACATTAATAGTAGAAATAGAACAAGATTAAGAGTAAAAAACAATGAGAAATCTAATCGAGATATAGAAGAGAATAGGAAAAATATCCAATTTTTGTTAGCGCAACAATCGGGGGTTGAGCGAGGAGCATTCTAAATGGTGGGACATCCTTCTTATAGTAACACACCTTTGTGAAAGACACACCACATATTCATCCAAAACTTTAAGGTGATAAGTGGGTGGGTTTTCTCACTTATAAATGCTCAAGTCACCACATTCTTATCCAATGTGAAACTATTATCCACACTACTCACATTTGTAATTTTTTTTAACACTCCTTCTCAAGTGTGAGTCTACCACAATGTTCCCCCTCAAGTGGAAGCTCTTCTTTCACATACACCTGTACCTTCGTTGGACACTCTTCAATGGGACACTCAACCCACCACCATGTGGGGATACTTTCGATACAAGTAAGTCGGTTCCTTTCTCGAACCAAAGGTCCATGATACCATTTGTTAACGCAACAATCAGGAGGGTCGAGCGAGGAGCACTTTAAATGATGGTACATCCTTCTTAGAGCAACACACCTTTGTGAGAGACACACACTACATATTCACCCAAAACTTTAAGGTGATAGGTGGGTGAGTTCTCTCATTTATAAACGCTCAAGTCACCACATTTCTATCTATTGTGAGACTATTATCCTCACTATTCACACTTGTAATTCTTTTTTAATAATTTTAACAATAAAAAAGCGTAGGTAGTAGAAAGTATAGTAGGTGGTGGTGGTTGATCGGAGAAGAAAAGTTAGGAGGCAATTTTCTTCTTTTCAATTTCTTTTTTTCAAAGATAATTAAGAGATTGATTTTTTAAAGAAAAAAATATTATCTAAAGTAATTAAAAATATGGTAGAAGTGTAATTATAAAAAATGATATGGTTATAACTTAAAAATTAACTCTATTGATGATATGACAAATCATATCATTGATATCATTAATTACTAATAAATGTGAGACATGTAAGTGGGTAAAGTTGCCTAACATTTTTAGTAGGGTAATGAAGTAGGAACTTTTTTTTACCTATTGAAACCAATGGTAGGTATTTGATTATTAGGTAGCATATCACATTCCCATGCGTTGTTGAACAAAGCTTACGTGTTTGGTGATTATGGTTAATGATAATATTTATTCGGTGTTTTGAATTATCATGCTCCGTTCATATTATGTTTTTAACTTTTAAATATGATCGATTGTAAAGTGTATATTACAAGAGGATGTGTGAATAAGTCATTGATGTATATGATTTAAAATTGTTTTTAGTGGACCTAATTAGCCCAGTATATTTATGTTTTTACTCTGCTCTAATCTAAATTATAAATTACATTGTCATAAGAATTTGTTTAAATTATAAATTATTTTATATTTTTAATGTAATATTAATGACACTTTACTCAACGTATTTTTAAATATTTATTATTATTTATTCATTCAATTATTTTTATTTTTTTTCTTGTATAATTTTAAAAAACATTACGATAAAGTCATGCCTAAATTATCTTTTATAATTTGAGACGGAAATAATAATATTTTTGACATAGAGAGGGTTTAAAGTAGTAGAACAGCAAATTAGTTCTAATACATATAATAGAGTAACTATCAAAAAGGAAATTGAGAAAAATGTGAATAGCTACTTGTGAATTGTGATTGATAAAATCATATTTTCAAGATTATTATTTGTAAAAACAATATTTCTATCCATGCAAAAAAAATATTTTCTCAAAATATTTATAAATTTTATTTAATTTAAAACTATAAAAATATAAATATAAATGTGAGTACTATTAAAAAATTGTAAGTTGCAATTAGTTAAACTTATATTAAATCCTCACTCTTTAAGCTTGAAAATAAATATGAGAAATTGATATATTATAACAACATTCTTGGCAATAAAAAGTACTTGAAAACAATTTTAAAATATTAAAATGTCACATTCTCAACTATATTTTTAATCTTTGAAACAAACACATCTAATTAAAAAAAAAAAAAAAAGAATATTTGACTCTAAATATTAGTCTAGTTATAGCATCTTTAGTGGGAGTAAACTAAATGGGTAAACTAAGATACTTTTTGTGAGCCCAAAGTGATTTGTAGGATTTAAAAAATTTATAGTTGATTTGAGGAGTTTTTACTTTAATGGTGGTTGTCTATAAAAAACAAAAACTTGACCCCACATTTTATATTTTTTATTCAAAGTTACCATTAATTTAATTATTTTAATTAAAATACATATAATTTTTTAAATAAAATTTACCTTAAAAACTTAAAAATAATATTAAATATATTTTATTATAAAATTAAAAATGATACAAAATTCACAACAATAATACATAAAAAAAAATACATTTTCATAGGAATATAATTATAATAAGGATTCGATTGGTTGGGATCCATTTGATAAATAAATAAGATTGGAAATTGAAAAAAAAATTTAGAAGTAAAACTGTGTGTAAAAAAAATTAAAATTTCTATAGAATTTATAGAGGTAAAAAATGATAATATGACCGTTACTATTTTCAAATATCATACCCTTACTTTACTTTAATGTTGTTGGAATATTTGGAATATTTTATTAATATTAAATAATATTATAATAGGTTTCACATAATTAACGTTAACTATATAGATAATAGGAACTAAATTTTAGTTTATTTAGATGTCATGTCAGCTCTCCTATAATGCAAATTCCTTATTACTAAGGTAAGCTATAAAGAATTTTAGTTTAACAACCTGCGTTAAAGTTACTCTTAGTTATTTATTTATAGGGTAATGCTAACTTATTTATTTATTAGTCTAAATATTACCCTATTTATTTATTTATAGGGTAATGTTAACTTGTGCCCTAAGAACATCTTTAGTGCAAGTTCTGTAGTATTAAATTCTTTAATAGTAACGATAGTTATAAGCAATTTGCATTGGAATAAAAATGACATAGCAGTAAGTGAACTAACCATTAGTGGGAGTAAACTATATAACCAACGCACACTATCCATTCTCAATGACTCTTATTATTATTTTATATTATTAAAATATCAATAAAGCTCTAACTATAAAATGTGGGGTAAGTTTTGGTTTTTATACAAGCAATCATAATTAAAATAAAAACAACTCAAATCAACTATAAATATTTTAAATCCTACAAATCACTTGGGCCCACAAAAAGTATCTTAGTTTACCCATTTAGTTTACTCCCATTAAAGATACTCTAAGAGCACATGTTAATAAATCTATAAATAAAAAATTTGTATTGAAAAAAGTAATAAAAAAATTAATTATAAATTTTTTAAGTTCTAAAAAAATATTTCTACATTTAGTTCTTAACATGTGCCCCAAGAGCACAAGTTAGCATTACCTTATTTATATCACCTTATTTATATCAAGAAAGGCTAGTTTAAAATTTTTCAATGATCAATTTGATGATTTTCGTTTCAAGATTCAAATAAACCCCTTTTTTTTTATTGACTAGTTAGGGTCTTCATATAAAATATTACAAATTTTATAGTTTTTTCTATAGAAATACACTCTTAATGGACAAGATGAAAATAGTCTAAAATATTTTGTTTAAAAATAGTAAATGAGGTAAAAGAAAATGAAGGTGGGAGGTGAATTCAAGGAAATAAATATTTAGAGAGAAAGACAATGCAACTTGAAGGAATCAAAAATTCCAAAAAATTCCATTCTACTCTAGTTCTTCTGGAATGAGAAATCCAACAAAGGAGACTTTTAAAGCACTATAGATGTTGGATGGATTTAGACTTTCAGAACAGTCAAGATCAAAGTGTTTATCAGGAAACAAGTTTAGATAGTCCCTGTTCTCCCATAATTTCTACATTCTGACAACCTGTCTCTAATCAGGCTATCGAATTCGCAATTGATCAGTATCTTAACTCAGGTCACTTTCAACCAATCAACAATAAGAAAAACTGCACATGCACTCTCTTCTGCATTTAACCTAAATATTCAACCTAACATTCAACTAAAAATCAAGATTCAACATGTAACAGTCAACACGAATAAATTAATATTCAAATATAACAAATCAATCTAAACAATATTTCAAGAACCGTAAAAACAAATGAACATTCAACAAGAAAATTTCAACCTAACAAATCAACGTTCAACAAGAAAATTTCAACCAAACAAATCAACGTTCAACAAGAAAATTTCAACCAAACAAAACAACATAACAATAGGAATAAAAAATTAGAAAAACAAACCAACCTTAAGTTACCTAACAGAGGAGAGAGATGCCAGATGCGCAGCATGAGAAAAAAAGTGCAGGACAGCCGGAGTTGATCAAGAGAGAAAGGAGGTCATAGGGGGTCTCAAGAGAGAAGATTGCTTGTTTGTTTTGTAATTTCTAATCATAACTATGGGCAGTTCTGTAATTTCACCTATAAAAAAATATATGGGAGGACTGCAGCTGTTCTGATCTGCTAAAACCTGTCAATGAAATCTATTTCATTCAATTTTACTATTTACTTCAACTTTACTATTTACTTCAATTTTTCCATTCATCCAGATGTGAGGTTATGAAATGGAGCTACTAACTAATTTCATTTTAGAAATAACAAAACACTATCGAAGGTATATAGTGACCACTAAGTATAACTAATCGTATTGAAGTATAACTCTGTTTGCACTCTGAAGTCAAAAAAAATATGCAGGCACATAAGTTACAATGAATGAATAATGTTAAAATCGGTATGACCAAATTACCGTAAAGAAATCTACAAAGTCATGGAATCCTAATCATTCAACACGTGCCATCAACTGAAAGATATTTAACTGACTGGAATGTTGTATCATAGCCAACCTTGCACCTGTCATTTAACAGTATACATGAAACTTCCGATCTTGAAACTCAGTGATAGAATCACAACTGAGAAACCCATCAAGAAAATCCAACCATGTGATAATATAAATGCAGTTTTGCTACAGACCAAGCCAGAAGTAGGCACCAGAGTTGCAGAGTTAACATCAGTTTGGGAAAACTCCGAAGACATAATGGTGTGAAAACCTCCATTCTTGCCCACCATCCAATCCATCGCATTGCCTCCAAAAGTAATGTCAGTAATGCTGATCATACTCATACCTGCTGTTATATGAGCTGAATTGGAAGACCCAGTTGCAGGATGTATCCCAATAGCAAACTCCGTAGTAGGAAACTCTGAAGCAAATGCAGGTGGAGCAGGAATGCGGGCCAACAAATTATTGGCTTGCTTTACAAAAGCATTTGCATCTCCAGAGACCCAATTTGACGCCTTCAGATCCTCCTTTGGTAAAACTATTTCATTACTAGACTGTGCATCAAAAACATGTTTGTTTACCAATGTACTATCATTGGCTTCGCCCTCCACATTCTGCTCAATGAACGACTGTCCATGGTTGGCAATGGGACTTTCACTCTCTGCATTCAAAGGAGAATCAAAGCAAATATATTTGGAAATATCATCATCAGGGCATGTAAGGTACTCATCTAAGAGTGCAGCAACAGAAGGATCTATCTCGGTGGGAATAACCTCATCAAGATTCTTCACATCATTGGTATCCACGTATTCTTCATTCAACCCCGTAAGATAACTGGAGGCATCAAAATATAGATCTGGATCCTCAGATTCAAAATTGAAATTCAGAGGATTCTCTTTATTGTTTGTCTCACCATTGTATCCATCTTGCACTGAATTGATATCCATACCATACAGATCAGCCATATTATTAGGCAGGTCAATCTGACTATCATAAATACCAAGAGCAACTTCAAATTGTTTAGAATCAGTAATAAATGCTTGGGAATGGCTACTACACTCCCCATAACAGAAGTTTGATGGAAAGTCAGCACTTCCAAATGTAACACTAGTATCAAGCTCTTGGTCAAGATCATTGGTTTCAACATAATCATCATCAGTAGGAGCAGGCACTTTTTCTTTTAAATGCTCGTTATCAACAGCTGTCAAGAGATGCCCCCGTTCATCGAATTCAGGAGCAGGATCAAAGGCTTGTAGTTTCAAAAGCCCATTATCAACAGGAAGCAAGGGATCCACTTGTCGTCCATCAATAATATTCTCCCATTCTGCCTCAACAAAGGGAGCCCCATACTTCTCCCCGTTCTTCGGCCCCGGACCACTCTTCTCGAATATCCTACACAGCACATAAGCATCCTTCTCCACCAAACCAAACCAAACAAAAAACAATATCATCTCAAGTAAGAATCAAACCAAAACCCAATTCAATAAATTCAACACATAAATAACAATTAGAAAGAAAAAAGAAGAAAAAAAACTCATTCTAAATCATGGATACTCTAAAGTTAATGTTGTACTCCTACCCGGTGGGTACTTGTAACGTACTCATTAGTAAGGGTAAGTACCAAATACTTACCTAAATTAATTTCTAAAATAAAAAATTTGGTACCTCATTTGGATACTGTTAAGAAATGTGGTTGGACCTAACTCAACCCTACAAAACCGGCTGGTAGAGTGAGGATTGCCCCCCACTTATAAACACATGTTCATGTCATATATTGTCCGATGTGAGACTCTTAACACACCCCCTCACGCTCAGGATGGGACAACTGAAGCGTGGAAATAAATGGTGGGTGGCCCGATAGTGGAAACCATAGAAGGTGGCCCACCGGATCTTAAACGAGGCTCTTGATACCATGTTAAGAAATGTGGTTGAGCCTAACTCAACCCTACAAAACCGGTTGGTAGAGTGAGGATTGCCCCCCACTTATAAACACATGTTCATGTCATATATTGTCCGATGTGAGACTCTTAACAGATACTTTTTCAACACACCTAGAGTCTAATAAACAAGTATAGACTTGTCTTTTACTATAAAACAATTATAAAATTAGGTTTTCTATTTCTATATTTGATGACGTTCATACTTTTCCTATTATAATGCATATTATTTACCAATTTTTTTACAATACCATCTATCTCACTCCTATAATGTGAATATCATCTTTAAATATTAATTTCTTATATTTATCTCTTAATTTTGTTTTGATTTGTGTTATAGTAAAACTTAGCCTTACCAAACAACAACCACCAAGCCCCAAGGGAGGTTGCTTACATGGATCAACTTCCATCATAATGTTCTATGGAGGTCCATACTTCTATCCCAATTGTTAATTTGAGAGTTTTCTTAATAACTTCTATTATAGTTTTTCTAGGTTTTCCTCTATCTCTCGCTTTTTGACTCTTCTCCATTGATATACTCTCCATCCCACGGAACCCACAGGTTTTCCCCGTACATGCCCAAACCACTAAACCACTAAGTCTATTTTCCACATCTTACCTATAAATTAAGTATCCTTAACCCATACCATGTACCTTATCTATATTCATGCAACTTAGAATATTCACTATCTATCACTATAATAAATTTATAATACCTGCACTCCAGCTTTGGCCAATTCTTCATCAATCATCCTATACTCATGCATGACCCAATTGGTTCGGTCGCCATGTGGGGCCCGCCCTAAGTGATAAACAAGGGTCTTCTTCATTCCAACAGTGTCCTGCCCGTTCTTGATAACGCGATCCTTTCCAGTAGTCTTCCAGTACCCTCTATCAGTAGCACGATTCGTCCTCAAACTATTACCGTACTTCTTGTCCAGCACAGTGAAGAAGTACCATTCCAAATCCTTGTTCTTCAGCTTCGACAAACTGGGAAGATCCCATGGTTCGAACTTGTAGATGTCAACCACCGCAAGATGGTCGAAGCGGAATGGTAAATTTCCAATGAGCTTCCGCTTCAGGTAGAAACAAACGATCTCTTCATCGGTAGGGTGGAATCGGAATCCAGGAGCCTGGTAGAGAGACATTGATTGGATAGAAAGTCGATGAGGAAAGAAAAAAGAGAGACAGCGAAATTGACGAGAAAATTGGAAATTAGGGTTTTTCAATTGGAATGCGAGACATTTGGGCTTTTTAGGAGTGAGGAGGAAACTTTGTTTTGGTATTCTTAAAACCTAAGCGAAGATTTATTTTTGAGAAAAACACTTAACAAAGTGAGTTAATATGTATTTTTTTTTAAATTATGTGTTTAATTTTAAAATACTAATATGAATTGGTAAATTTAAATATTTAATTAGATGTGTGTAATATGACAGTGTATTATCTTTAAACTCTATTTTTTTAATTTAATATAATCAATCAAGTTAATCAAGATAATGATGAGATTAGACATTATATATGTTTAACAAGCAAACTCTTTATAAGATATGTGAAAATATGATGGATTGCTCTCAATAATGACTTTTCTATTTATACTCCTCAGTTTTGCTTTGGCCTTAAACCTTCTTTTATTACAATATTTTGTCTCTCACGTGTATGAGACTTAATTGTGTAACACACTTTCATGACTCTTATTGTTATGGTTGTTACGTCTGTTACAAAATCATGGTCATTACTGACATGTTCTTTTGTTTAAGGTTCAGCCTTGTAACAAATATTAACAATTCTTTATGTGATTCATGGTTGAGTCACCTCTTTGTATCATAGTTGAGTCAGACTCCTAGTGAGACGCTCTATGTGAGTGCAACTTTCCGTTAGATGTATTTTGTATGAAGTCAAAATTAGAATACTTTAGTGTTTATGTACATTGGACAATATCATCTGAGTCTAGTTGTGCATTTTAGCATTAGGAAGCATGTCAACATGTTTGAAATGGTTTAGAAAAGATTCATGCATCAAAAAATAGTTTTCTGCATCAAAAACAAAGTTTTGTGTGTGAAAAACAGCTTATAGGTCGACACATAGAAGAAAATTTTCTTCTATAGGTGAACACATTCATTCTTTAAGTCAACACACATGTTGCAGTATTAAAGCCTACAAGCTCTGTCCATGTGTCGCCTCCTATAAGTCGACTCATGACCTTTACAAGTCAACACATGACTTTGATAGGTCGGCCTATAGACTAAAAATCTTGAGTTTTTGTATAATTTTATATTTCTTTTGCTTGATATATATATATATATATATATATATATATATATATATATATATATATATATATATATATATATATATATATATATATATATATATATATATATATATATATATATATATATATATAACACTTGATACATGCATCATTTCTAGTAAGGTTCTAGAGTAAACCTACATGAAATTGCAATTTCAAAGCATTCTCATCATCTTCAACCTCTTTTCTATGCACACACACAATCAAATTACACATAATCATTTTTTAATTGGGTGTCATCTAGATTAGGGTTGATAACATCCAATTTAAGTTGTTTGTACTATAAATTAGGTTGAGTTCTTTGAAGGTTTCAAATAAGAAAACCAAGTTGGGGTTTTCCTTCAAGATTGTTAAGGGATTTGAAGGTTTTGGACAAGATTACGCAATTCGGATTCGATCGAGTGAAAACCTTGGGACAAGGAGGGCCTTACAAGGGAGTAGCGTGAGACGGTGGATCGTATTGGTAAATTTTGGGTTTTAAAAAGTGTGCGCTTGAGATTAATTCGACCGAGTGAAAGCCTTGGGACAAGGGGTGCCTTGCAAGGAAGTAGAAAGAACAAGTGAATTGAAGCGGCATTGTTAGTTACTTCATCAATCTTTGATCAAGGGTTTTGAAGGTGCTAGAGTCAACATCAAACTTAGGGTTTGTAGGATTGGATTGCTACATTTCATGTATACATACTTTTGGAAAGTAAGGTTAATTGCAATTATCGCAATTGGAATTCAAATTGAGGGCAGACGTACCCATAGCGAGGTCGATTGGAAAACTGCCTAAACAAATCCTTATGTACTCTCTCTTTCTCTCTCTCTCTCTCTCTCTCTCTCTCTCTCTCTCTCTCTCTCTCTCTCTCTTTCTCTCTCTCTCTCTCTCTCTCTCTCCCTCTATCTATCTATCTATTTATCTATCTATCTATCTATTTATCTATCTATCTCTTTTAATTTGTGTTTACAAATTATTGAATTCATTGTTTATTTGATCAAATCGTTTGGGAATTATTTTTTATCACATTTTGAAATAGGTTATGTTGAGTTAATCATAATCCATTTGATTATGATTGGATTTTAAGATCAACAAAATTAAGCAAATTTCCAAACGATATTGATTGCACACAAGGTGTTCGATAAATTGTCTTAATATTGTTTTTGTGTGTTTTCATTATTGGAAATAAGCTTTACATATATCTTTGCATTCAATTGGTTGTGATAAATAGTTGGTGAACAATTTGTGTTCATTATCATAAGATTGTGTACCTTTATGCATATCTGAGCTTTTTGATAGAGGTTCGGTTAGAAGATTCAATTTGGATTATTTCCATTGTTCCATAAAACTTTTCAAACAAGTTTTTCCAAAAGTTTTTTTAACTTGTGATCTATTCACCCCCTCTAGATCGAAGCCTAATCAGTCACCATTTCTACTATGTTTCCGCCACTTATTCGGCATTTCATCCACAAATTGGTAATATTTTGTTTAGTTTTTTTTATCGTTTTTGAGTAAATTTGATCGTTCTTATTTCATTCTCGTAATTTATGTTTTCTGGTGTTATTTCAACTTTTGTTGGATTTAATGTGTTTGGTTGTAGTTTTGATGATTTCAGGTCCATGCGGAAAAGCACAAAAGACTCATGCAAAGAAAATGGAAATTCCGGAAAGTCTAAGAAGTTTTTAGAAAAGTGACAGTGGCCTGACACGGGCCGTGTCAGGAGGAACCCAAAGAAAAGAAGTTTGAGTGATGGGCAATGGGCTGACACGGGTGCTCGTGTCACCTGACACGGCCCGTGTCAGCAAGTCTGAGGCATATTTTCTTGTCAGCTGAAATACAGGGGGCTAACACGGTCGCTCGTGTCACCTGACACGGCCAGTGTTGGCTTGGTCGTGTCGACTTCCAATTTTCTTGTTTTTGTGACCTTTGTAATTCATGGGGATATTTTGGGTATTTTCCTATTTTTGTGTTGGACCTGGGAGTTTTAAGACGCATTTTGAGAAGGAAAAAGGACTTTAAGAAGAGATAAATATTACGATCAAGATTGGAGCGATCAAGAGAAGTCGGGAACAGGAGATTTTCATGAGCCTTCGCGATTGAAGATCAAAGTAACCACTATTCTTGTAATGTTTAATATGATTTTTATTGTATTTTCTCTGATTATTATGAGTAGTTAAACCCTCCAATGCTAGGGGGCGTCCTTGAATTGCTTCTCTAATGATATTGTTCTTCTTGTTTTAATGACATAAGTGCTTATTTTCATAATTATTTTTTATCGTTCAATGTTCTTAATGCTTTTTCAATCGGACAAATCAAATTAGATTTACAGTTAACTTTAGGTCGGACAAACCTTCGTTAACGCTTTTGAACGATAATGCTTTAGTAGATATTACCTAGGACTAGGAATACCCTGTTTCTCTTGGAACACTGTTGACATTATTTATAATGCTTGATTTCAAACATAATTTCCTGCGGACATAGTAATTAGGTTATGAAATTAAGAGGTTTTCTCACTAAGGACTTAAGAGTAAACAATTTACAGTTAAGAAATTGATAATCTGAGCCATGTCTTTGAAATAAGGATTGATATTGTTACAAGGCAACTCATACACTATCCCTAACATACTTCTCATATTTGTCAGAATCCTATTTTATCCTTTTGCCTTATTTTTCTCATTGCCACTTTTAATTTTAAAAACAATTACCAAACCCCAAACTACTTTTGTTTAATTAAATTATTATAGAGCTTATATTCTTCTATACAGTCCTTGAGATCGATATTGGGGATAAAACCCCTATTTTAACTATAATCGACAAAAATAGTACACTTGCTATTTTTCCGATCAAGTTTTTGGCATCGTTGTCGGGGACTGCCAAAATATAAGCTTAATTTTAATTCAACTTAATTTTGTTGCTCTGCGACTAAAATTTTATTTTTTGTTTTGTTTTTATAGAAATTTCCATTATTACTAATAACTGTCTAATTTATGTATGCGAAGAAAGCCCTCAGCTGAATTTCTTTTTGACGCAGAACCAGAAAGATCGTTGCACGCTAAACTCAGAAAATCTAAACGAGAAAGAATGGTAGTGTCAAGTTCAGAACCGGTAACTTCCGAACAAGAAAAAGAAGAAGTTTCGGTTCATTCTAAGCAGTCTGATTCAGACACAAATACGGATACAAAGACACATCTAGAGACTTTTGTTATGGCTAAAATTCCACCAGCAGAGAGGCTTCTGGGTGACTATGGTGGAGAAAACACTCCAACAGGTCGATTGACCATAGTGAATCAACCAGTCAATGTGGCACACTTTCAGTTGCATTCGACAACGATCTGACAGCTCGAAAAGAAACCGTTCACAGGAAAAAAAATGAAGATGCAAACAAACATTTGCAACAATTTCCTACAATGAGCACCACTTTGAAGATCGATGGGTATTCTGAAAAGGCAAAGAAATTACGGATGTTTCCATTTACTTTAGCAGAAGATGTCGAAGAGTGGTTTTACTCCTTACTTGCAGGAAGTATCACCACTTGGGAAGAGATGGAGAAGACGTTTCCTAATGAATATTTCCCTGCATCTGTTTACATTCGTAAAAGATATGATATCATGAATTTTAAACAGAAGGAGGGAGAATTGTGACGCCCCGATCTTGATTATTTCATTTTACTGAGTGTTCTATTTGAATTGGATAATAATTGTTTTAATTGTGAATTTGATGTGTTAATTTAGTATGTTTTAATATTTTACCGTTTCGGAGAATTTCGGGTAAAATTTAGATTGAAGGGTATTTTAGCCTTTTGATAAAAATAGAATTGAGGGGAAAAGTATAAGAGGAAATAGAGAGGAAAATAGAAA